CCAATGTGACTGACGTTCATATCACTCATTAGAGTTCTGGCGTCGCTATTTGGGGCTTTGTCCACCGCTCTTTGCTATTGTCTAAGGAATTCTCTATCCCCTTGGACTGTATAATTTATAAGAGTGTAGCGTTGCAGCGCTGTGACTCCTTTACCCTTTGATTCGAGTTATCCTATCTCAATTCTACCTAATAGGCTTGGATGCTGTTAGTGGAGTCTCAGTAGCAACTCCCTCATTGTTTTCTCGTTTGAAGTCCAGAAGACAGAAGAAGACTGTCAACTCTCCGGTAAACGGTTCGGAGAATCCACCTCCATTCATTCCACAGATTCCTAGGACTTCTGTGCCGTTTCTCCTCATTCCATCTGTAATTCAAATGGCTTTCTGCTCTGATAATCTTATAAAGTTTCTGCGTCCCTATGTCACCTTTTGATTTCATAGGAAGAAGGCCCATTGTCTGGCTAGCTTCCTGAGTTCTTTCATCCGCCGGAGTCACTCGTCTCTGTGCCACGGGGTCTTCTTGATTCCAGCGAAGTAATTTTTCCTGTTCTTTAAAATTTCAACGGCGATTTGGGCTGCTACTCCCACGCCCAACCTCATCTTAGAACCTGCTGGTAAACAAGACAGGTTTTACTCGAAACTCCGGGACTGTTTTAGGAAGTATGGATTTAGAAGTTAATAGCTTAGTGCAATTCGCCTGTGTGTCATCTGATATATCTGCTTAAAATCAGTTGCAATAAAATCGCTAGGTGTAGAAACCGGTGTGGTGGAAGGATGAAATTACCTCTAGGCTTATTCGAATGAGCACTGCTTAAAATAAAAGTTAAATCCACTTGATATCCAGGAGTACTTTCATGACAGATCCATAAAATGTTTCAGTAATGCTTGGTTTCACACCAAAATTAGTTCAGATCATGGAAGTTTGTAGTCAAAATTGTCTGACTTTCATCCTTTCTTTCAACAAGGAAGTTATCACTCAGACTACTAGTTTCCTGTTTCCCTCTTAAACTCATACTGTAGAAAGCTTATCCGGGGGCTAAAGCAAAAGGATGTACGCGCACACTTTAATGCATATGTTATATCTAATGCTGCAACTTTAAACACTTAAGTTGTATTTTATGTATCGTTTTGCATTTTGTGTTAATTAGACAGTTTGTGCTTCATTGGACTGTTGCACATTTTTGCCAAAATTCCCATTTGTGTTAGTAGTGAGACATTTTTGGGTTAAACTGTTGTCGTCATTGTATTTGATTACCGCACTATATCAGCAATAAGGCTCTTTGAAAACAGATCGTAGTTATCTTGCATAACGAACATTTTAATTGATTCTCTGACAGTTATATTGAACCGGAGAAAATTCCCACAATATATTGACCGAGAGGCTTTCATCACTACCTCTGTCACTTCAGCACTCAATTCTGTTTATACCCTATCAAGAAATACCATTTCGCTTTGGCCCAAAAGAGTAGAATATAGGGGAAAGCTTTAACGGTCTTCCTGCAGTACCAAGTTTGATCACGAGCTGACACCACTTAGAGAGCTACTGAGGGAACTAGGGTTTCCGGACGGCTATTTCACCATAGTTAGGGGCTGTTGGGCAATACACAGCCAGCGGGATTCCAGCTCAGTGCCTTCTAGTTACAAGGCAAGCGGGCGAATTACTTAGCAACTGATAACTAGTCTAATGGCTCGTGAATTCCAACTCCTGCTAGTTTGCCGAAAACGGGGTAAAACAACTAGCCAGTATCATTGACGCGTAATAATCCTTCTGCAAGAATCCATGGACTCCTCTGGTTATGACTTCTTCCTAGAACTCAGGGTTAATTCATGCGTACAGTCAGTATTCGCTGACCATCGGATTAACTTTCAGGTTTTGACCTGCAAGGATTTGACTCGTTACATGTTTAAACATGACTTTGTATCGATCTGAGAACCAATGAGAAAATAGGCAGTCGTCTAATCGTCTTCGACTAGTCAGTCACTCATTCGAGCCACAGTGGGTGAGATTCGCTGGGGGGTCCCAGACATGAATGAAACAGCTGTTCAGTGGTCCATCGCTTTGCAGTTCTTTAGGTGATATGAGTTTGTGACCAAATAATCAAGTCCCCACAAGCCAGCACTTGAAAATTATTATCGACTCTTGGGATCGCTTGTAGGGTTTGGCTCAACTACTCGAGACCCCGCCAATGATAGACTGCAGTTGAAAAGATTTCAGTGATGGTTAATTTACCTGTTCTTATTTTGCAAGTAACAGCGAATACAAGTGAACTTGGTATGGTTACGCTAATGCCAGTGTGCACCAACTCAGGAAGCTTGCTTGCTCCAGCAGCTCACCTGGAGGTTTCCTATTTCACCACACAGCCCAATATATTTCACGCTACTTTCTCATCAATTCCATAGCGTTGTTTAAATGTGTACCTATAAATGTGAAAAAGATATTTTGCAGGATTTTTATAAATTTAATTTTTTATTTTGAAAGTGACAACTTCCCGCGATTCACCACTTGGCTGTATCATCACAAGTAGTCTGTATTTGATAAATATGCATGTCGCTCAACAAACTTTCCGGGATTGACTTAGATGTCTGCTTCAGAAGAATGTTCAGTATGTTATGTCAACCTCCAGAATGGAAAGCATGTGATCGTGCGTAGTTTTATCAACGGTAGTATCGGTAAAATTGTAGCGTATAGTCTCTATAATAAAGAGCATACGAAAGGCGCTGTGGACACTTAGAGGGAGTTAGTGACTGAGAAATCCAGAAGGAAGAGATGAGTAATCGTGAAAACCATAACCTCCTCATTGTTTGTGAGTTTCCATTACTCAACTGAAGGGTACTGAATTACGAATGCACATCCGTTTGTTTGACTGGGTCTCGCCAAAATTATCCGCCAGTGCACTAAAGAAATAGGCGTTCCAAATCAGCTACCTTCTCTTATTATGCGCGAACCAGTCAGCAAATTTGGCAGTTATTTCGATCCCGAATTCGGCTGCTAAAGTGCTTTAAGTGTTTAAGTGACGTGTGTACGGGTAGCCTTGATCCTACCAACTAGGCGGGAATTGGTAATAACAGGTGAGTGATAAAAGGATTCTAGGAAGTTTGTGAATAGCTGACGTGAAAATGCTGGAAAATAGTTGCCAGTTTCTCCTCCTAGTTATCACATTTCGGGGTTCGACAGTTGTTGGCAGTCATTTTATTTACGGCCACTTAAGGATTCTCACATTTTTTCTAGAAAAATGGCTGTTGTTGTCAACCAGGATCACAATGGTGTAGGAAATACACTGTAAAATGGACGGTAATTTTGTTCAAAAATGCATATAAAAAGTTACCGAAAGAGAAGATACGAGGAGAAGGGAACGCTTCGTTTGTGCGACGAAATTCAACTCTCATGATTTTTTTAGATTTGTGAAAACTGTAAGGCCCCAAGGATCCTCTGACTTCTAGCTCGGGGATTTTCTCTATAATACAGGTGAGCAAATAAGTCAGAGAAAAGTAAGCTGTGGGGTTTTTAAGACCTATATATGGAAAAATATGGATTGCTTGGTAAACGTGATTGTATTAATGTAACAATTGAAGACCTATCCCCCTGATCAGATAAGGCCCTGGGTGACTTCCCTCGCCGGTGTCTGTTATGTCAACTGGGATTTATGGAATGTAATTAAAATTCATGGGATATAGACTGCCAGGCACCTGCATAATTAGACAACCATTAAAAATTTAGGAGGTATCACATTTTTTGTGACTGACACGAGGACAACAAAAAAGTACGGGATTGGCTACAATTAAGCGCTTGACATGTAGCGATAAACAATCTGTCTTCTTGCCTCTTGGCTCTTCGTTGAGAATTAAAGCAGTATAATAATAAAGAAAGCCCCATCAACGTTAGCTGCAACACTAAGCCTGGTTTGTCTAAACCTGATGTGGTTGCGTTAAACCCTGGAACCTTTTTAATTCGGCATCTTAGTGCCCACTCTACTTCCCCTGTGGTGGCGGCTTGCTTGAGTCACTCAGCCACCCATCTCTGTTTTAACCATTTACTTAGACCTGTCGATTGTCAAACGTACTCACACAGTTCTCAACTGACTTCCAACCTTCTACTGCTTATATATCGGTGAAAAAAATAATGATTCCATATGGGTCTATTTTATTCTTCAGACTGAATGGCATTTCTTTAGATGTACTTCTGATTGCCATCTCACTCAAAGGTTGTAGATGGAACGTAGGTATTATGTAGTAGGATACGCTGAAACTCCCATTTAATTTGTAATCATTTTTCATTAAAGCTTGAATCCATACAGTTTTTCGTACAACTGTGAAATTTTCAGCATGTGATTGCTGTAGCCCAAATTTAACAGGCCTACCACTGACATTTCCAAAATTAGCAATCGTTAGAAGCGTTCCACTCATACTATTCTGTGAAATGGCCATGTCCAAGAAGGTGAAGTTAAAAAATAAACACAGGCGAAACTAGTATGCCTTATAACCCGACCGATCGATACTCTGCCTCGATTATAAATGCATATGTAAATGAAACGAAAACTTCAATTCGCTTGGGGAAGATTTTAAAACTTGTCAGCAGAGTATGGCTGAACTATGAACTCAGTGTCAGTAGGTATTAGTATCTTAAGGAAGAAGCTCAAAATGACTTGTGGGACGTTTCAGATGTTCCTCATTAAAAGAAAGGTTGAAAAATAAAAGGCATCCGTGGGTGAACCAGAATTTGATTCGGTTAATTATAAGTTGCCCCAAATTTGACGATTAATTTGGACTACAGGTTTATTTTGGTTCTGTTGTAGGTGCACTAAAGCTTTCTTATCTTTAGGACTCCATGTACGTTTTTCACTCCTCAATAGACAAGAATTTTCAGTATAAAGGTGTAATTTCGGGCAAAATGAAGTGAAATATAAGGCTGAGAGTTCTGTTTCGCACCCTGTCTTCAAAGTACTCCTTTTTGTTTGAATGCAGTGGTTCAACCTTGTGTCTATGCTTATAGATTTTGAGCTGGTTATGAAATATTTTCGGGGATGGGGATCTTCAAGTCTAAAAACTCCGGTCATTTGTCACCAAAATGTATACGTCTGCCTAGTGGGAGTATTTTTGACTGTGATCGAAAAGTAAGGTCTTAGTACTTAAATTCACCATTTTGCAGGTACTAATACATGAGCCTGAAGACTTACGTTATGTATGTACTCGATTAAATATCCCTGAAGATGAAAAATTTTTTATTATCACTGAGGTATAAATATATCAAAAAATAAACTTTTTTGTAGCACGATGGAGAGCGCTGCCTTATTCCTATATTCTACCCACTGCATCCCAACATTCTAAACTACAAAACTTCAAAGTAATCGTTATAATTTTTATTATTGTACGACCAGACAATTTATAACATATCATTTGTGTGAACAGCTTCACCTGAAACGTATCCAGCTGAGCAGTCCTCAGGATTGTTCGGATGTTAAGTTGGTCAACGATTTCATCATAGCCAGTAAGTCCGATTGTTATCGTTCATCTCGCTATCTTTTTGCTAGAATTATTAGGTAAAGTTGTATGTTTGTTATTTACCCTGTGCTATCTTGGATTCTTCTGTATATCTTGTTCTCAACTGATATAACTATAGTTATCATTCTCACTAACTGTATTAATAGTTATTGGATGTAAGTGTTTGTCCAGCTAGTGGAAATCCGTTTTCTAAAAGAAAAAATCCCTGTTTTATGACTCACTGGTGATTTTTAAGCTGCCCAAGCGTTTCAAGAATTCGTTTTATGTAAACTGTTGACTTAGTTGAGTCGTTAAAATACAAAGATTTATCTTTCGGGTAGACCAGTGACGACTGGCTATTCGATTTTGTAAGCTAACCCTAACATTTGGATATGGGTATTTGCCACGAAGACTGCAAATGAAATGTAAGTTTTAGGGCTTTAGTGAAAAATTATTCATAGCAAGAGATATACCCATGATAACAATAACGTATATGTTATAAAAGAATAAACTTGTGAAATCTCTCTTCAAATGCTCTCGTACTTTCAAGGAAATTAGGCTGAAATATAGGCAAGTTATTGCACTTAGTGCAGTCAGATGATGCCAAGATTTCAACTTTTCTTTAATAATGTAATCCTGAACGTCGCCATTTTACTTATTTTTTCAGATAAAAATCAGTTGAATACCAGTGAAGAAGACTCCAAAGCTCTGTGAGTATACATTTATTCAGCAGTAGTGTTTAGAGTTTTAGCCAAAACTATTCAGTCAAGTTTAGGAATACCTTTATAGCAGTGTGATTGTATTTTAATATTATTGGCCGAATTGTTTCCAGTTCTTATTTTGATAATAGTGTTGTCACATCAGTTTTTCTGGGACTGTTTTCCAACGTTAATCTCACTGTTATTTTTGACGTTAAGAATATTTATAGTTCAAGTCACAAATGTGTGTAATCACACCACAACCCGATTTGAGGTTATTGATGGCCTTCTATTTTGTATGCCAATAACTTTTGAAGTCCTAAAGTAGTTATGTCAAAAGCCCTCGGAATTTCAAGTTGGCGTCGATAGGGTATGCAATGCTTAGTTTTAAAGTGTACTAAATTTATTTTGAGGGAATTGTAATATGTGACTTTATGTCAAAGTACATCTGTTAATGTTCTTCAAATACAAATCGAAAGCTTAAGGTTCACTAAAGGAGTGTAAAGGTAAGAATATAGAAGAATGAAAATAAGTAGACCTGAGATGAAATTCTTCTACGCTTTTAAAATGGAAATAAGTTGTATCATTTACTGCTTCCGACCCATTGCTTATAAGTATTGCACTATGATTTGGAATGTAACTTTAGAAGTTCCTCATAATTACACTAACATGCGCATGACGTTAGGAGATCACAAGTAGTCTCATATGTCTCATAATTTCTATAATTCTCGTTGCATATATTTCATATATCGTATATAGTTTCACTTAATGTTAAAATAACAGAGTCTTAAAAGTGTTAAACTACATTGTGGTTCATGTACTTACACACGACCTTTAAGTTTGCGCCAATCTATTCATTTCATTCACAATTTTTGATTTTTGGCTTACGTTCAGTGTCGTGTAAACAATATTTGCCCGTAAGAAATATAATCATTTCTGTTTCTAAAACTTAGGAATGAACTTTTGAATTCCGAAGAAATGGTTACCCGCCTGTTGAGCGTACTCCTAAGTATTCCAGAACTTACTACACACCTGGTACATGTGAATGTAAGTGATTAGTGTTAATGGAGTTTATGGAATTTTGCTAATAAATTCGTAGTTTTTACCTTTTTATATTGGTAGTAAAATGTCTGTATAAATCAAAATAAAAAAATAAATAAATAAATATATACGTCTGACTAGTCATTGTGTTAGGTAACCTCACTGAATACTAATTAGGTGCTGTCATAGAAGTTACTTGTCCGTACAGCAAATTGTGTTATCATTTTGTCCAATTAACTTTTACTTTGTAAATATTACCACAGTAAATAAAAAGGTGTTTATCAGATGATGTTTTATGCAGTAATGTATAGCTGTGATTGAATATTGCAACTGTTATGTACTTGTGTATAAGTCATTTCCAAGTGTTCATTTCATTGGGCTCAGTTGGTTGTAATGTTAATTCATTCTTATACACACACGCACACTAGTCATGCAACTATACTAGTAATTCTGTGTTCTTGAGGTTCATTTTTCATGATTTTTGTGGATGATTAGTGCAAGTAAAAACAACATGGTGGTATTCGTGTCCCATGAAGGCTTCTTATTCGGCTAACAAAAGTTAAGTTACAGATTAAAATTTTTTCCGATTGACATTCAAATGAGCGAGTCATTTAGCATGAATGATTTATTTTAGATGTATTTTATGTGATTAATGATCTAGCATGCCACTCTTTAAAAGGTGTACTCCAGCTTACTGAGGAAAAATAGTGCAGTGCTGATCAGTGACTTGAACAAAGATTATTTGAGACCTCATGAAGAAGTCAACTTCTACGGTTAGTCAAGTGAACTGGAGTGCCTTCATCAGTTTCGATGTGAAATAACTGAAAAGTAGTCATTGCAGCCAGCCACTTCTCTGTCTTTCTTAATTGATGACACTTCATGTTTAAGTAAGCACTTAGGAATGAATTCTTTGTGACAAAACTGAAACATTCGATTAGTTCTGCTTGTATTTGTGTCTCCACAACTGCTGATGAAATTGTTGTTACATTGTCAAGTAAAGTTATTACAATTCGGTCTTTTAAGCGTGGTCACTTGAGGGAGAAATTGTCCTTGAAGTTAGGGACAAGATGTTTCTTGGAAAGTGTACTTGATAACCCTTTAGAGCCTAAAGGTATTGACGTTCACGGATAGTACGAACTATACTAACACAATATCTAACACTCACAACTTATATAGTATTCGTTCCGCGTAGACCAAAGGCAAAGCAAAACGCCAGAATTGACCGTCCAAATTACGAGTTGTATTTCGGGACCAAATCGGAGTGCGAGATGATTGCTTAACTATCTAGGGATCGTGCACGAACGAACGAACGTGACACGACGGCGTACCAAATGGCTTGGATGCTTGACCGGAAGCCTTCAGCTAAACAAGTTGACTTAAACAGTGATGGTCAGCATTCAATGTTCAGTGATGAATGCTGTGGCCAATAATTCAGGGGAATTACCTACCGCTACAACCCTATTGAAGTCTTCGTAGTACCATTTGCATGATTTGGCCAATATAATATTGTAGTTTTACTAAGTAACTGTCAAATGACATCATGCAGTATTTTTCTTCTGAACGCTTTGTTCAAACTCGCCAAGTGGACACTATTTAATCTATGTCCGAATATTGGGGTTGTTATATTCAATTTCCGGATGTAGACCTTATTTTCTAATCTGTCTAAAATTCCACTATTCATAAATCGTGTTATTTCTCTTTGTTCAATTAAAATAAAATAAAATATTAAAAGAATTGACTAAAACAATAGAATAAGTAATATTAACTAGTTATGCTTGATGAGATGTGTATACAAATTTTATTTATTGTAAGGAGATTTGATAAAAATGTCTTGGAACTCTAAATGAGTTTCATGAAGCTAATTGATAACAGTTATAGTACTGCTGATGAATTCAACTCTCAGCATTGTTAGTACAGTTTTTGTTACACTAGTAAATAAAAATAGTTAATGCATCGGGAACAATGTGAACAAAGCTACAGAGATTAAATGATTAGTAGCGTTGTCTGTGTTACTTATCGATAGTTTGAATTGTAAATATCATCGTGTTAACCTGAATGCTGTAAATCGTCGAAATTAGGAACATATTAAGCAAACAAGTTGATACACTTGCTTTTATAAGTAATTTTTGATGGAATCAATAAAAGATGTGTATATGCTGATTATTTTTGTCTGCAATCATAAATCACTGTCCTGTTCGGTAAATTCCGCCTCCAACTTTGATACATTCTAGTCTGAATAATATTTAGTCTGTAACCTTTTATTGCATCAAAAATGTTAGTGAAATAATTACTTTTTTCGTCTACTAACCATAACATTTGTTAAAGAAGTTGTGGCTTATTTAGTGTAACGTTCAAAAAAAGACCTTTTGAATTTTTAAACATAGTGGAATTATTCTAAATTGTTTTATAGTAACTGACTGTATTTGGTTTATTATTATTGTTCCCTTGGATTCTGAGTGGAACATAGGCTTCAACAGCGCACCTCCATTATGTAATATTCTTTAACTGGCTACACGATTGCCTATAATCTCACACCTGCTTCTCACACGATTTTCTTCATGTCATCCTTGGATGCCTCACTCGTCCTTTCCTATTCACGTCCCACTCGAATAGTGGCCTGGCGCGCGGTGTTACTTGATGGTCTTCTCAGTGTCCTCTCGACCTATCTCCACTCTCTTCTACATATTTTTTGAGAGATAGGTTATTAGTTGGTTCGTTCCCATAGTTTCTTTTTGCAAATTATTTCTGGCAATATAACCTTCATTATGAAGCAAAGGCAGCTGTTGATAATAGTCTGCTTTTCGTGACGCGTCAAGTTTCTGACCCAAGTAGAAAAACTAACTTAATATTGATGTTGGAAATCCGAATTTCGTTCTTTCTGCTGATTGCAGTAGATTTTAGAGAGATGACAGTCTGTCTGTAAGAAAGTTCATGAGATTATTTTTATTTTTAAATGTTTTTTTAAACTTAAGCTTCATAGGTTCATCGAAATCAACAAGAAAGTACTATTTTGGACATCATTATTTCCTATGATGCAGCACAGTTAATGCGTTATGTATAATAAACTAATCATGCTTTTGTTAGGGTCTTTGGCACACTATTCAAAGTTGGCGGAAGTATGTTGAACAGAATTTGCATGTGGATTGAAGTGCTTCAATTAAAGAGCTACAACACAGTGTTCTACCACCTATGTTTATGGAGGTTTCATACTTCAATTGTTTTTCAAGTCATTTCGGCATATGTCCCACCACCCTTCCTATGTATGTGTGAGTATATATATATGTATATATATAGTATGGGATGTCATGTATTCACTTGTGTAGTGTTGACGCTCGTGGTAGAGTATGTGATTGGCTTTTCGATGATTAAAAGCGAGGCTGAATAATAAGTTTCATGGATAATCGAATTCAGCCTTTGTGTTAATATTCTGCTGTTAATTTCTCCAGTGGCGTAGCGGTTAGGACGCTCGCCGACCATGCACACGGTCCGGGGTTCGATCTCCGACCGACACACTCCTTTACCTCGCTAAGCCAGAAATAATGCTGGTGAAGAGGGAAGGTTGGACATGAGGCTAGCAACCCCATCCTGTAAAATAAACACTGCTACAGAAACTTCAAGCCACTAGCTTGAAGCCCTATGTTCCACTGGAGAACGTGAAGGAAAAAAACACAGTCTGTTTTACGCTTCTGACTCTGGTCTTAATATCCTTATCCGTGTCGTTTGGGCATAAAACGATACTTCCTAGATAAGTGAAGGAATTTCTTGATAGTGATTAGTGCTTGTTGTGGTTGGTTGGTTATTTTCTTCACCTCCGGCTTCTCTATGTTCACTTGAAGTTGTGTCTTTACTGCTTCTTCTGCCAGTTTGTTGGTTTTCACCCGTAAGTTTTGAAGTTTGTGTGACATTAGACATAAATTATCCGCGAACTCCAGATCTTCTGGAGTCTTCTTATTGGTTTACCGTATTCCTGCCTTCTTCTTCTTCACAGTATTCTGCATAATCCAACCCACCACAACTAACAATATCATCGATGGTTTATTACTGTGAGAAAAGAAAGCCATTTGTTATCTTCTGATGTTTCTGATGCCTTTCAACTAAAAAAAGGAGTTATTTAGAAAATTCAGATTATCTTTGAACTTCCACAATATCGTTTTTTCCTTAAAACAACATGAAACTAGTTAAGAAAAACAACCTAGAAACAGAATTTCAGTAAGGTGTTCTGATTCATTCAGACCACTTTCTAACTACTAGTCACCGAATTGTCTGGGATAGGATAAATGTATCAGAAAGTAATAAAATTAAGTGGAGAGAAAGCTGAGTCATCAAATCCTTGTTCATCAAATCAACTCCAAGTACAGACAATAGGAATCATACCATAATTATCCGGGATATATATAAAATTGCAATAAAAACAGGTTGTAAGACTGTATCAGCCAAGTTATGTAAATACATTGATGTGATTATGAACAGTAAACCGTGCTCGTATCGTCATCCAATTATTATTATCACTAAATTACTGTATAAAATAGACTTATATTGATTCACATCGTACTACAGTGGGCAAATTCTACTCTTACATTAGTTAGAAAGGCAACAGTTTAAGTATAGATGCTATTAGAAACATACAGATAGGCAAATATTAGTGTCTTTTAATTTGGCTCACTGAAGTAAAAATTTGCCTTCCAACTTTTGGGCTTAGTGTTTAAAACCTCTAGCCGTTTGGAGAACAAGCATGATTTATCAAATGTCGTTTGGCTTAGCACATATAACAGATTTGTTTCGAATGAATGGGTCCCATTAAAACTATATTTTGTTTCTGTTTTTAATTTTGATTTGAAAGTAGATGAAAAAGGGATTATTATTAGTATTATTATCGACCGCTGACCTCAACAACATGCCCAGTTTTTTCCAAATAATTCTTTCTAAGAACAATAATTCACGAATAAATATGCAAGCTTGATAGACAGACTGAAACATGCAGAAGTTATCTATTGTGACGTTATGCG